CGGGCGGATCACAAGTTCAGGACTTCAAGACCAGCCTGGCCAACACGATGAAACCCTGTATCTACTAAAAATACAAAAAATTAGCTGGGCATGGTGGCGCGTGCCTGTAATCCCAGCTACTCGGGAGGCTGAGACAGGAGAATTGCCTGAACCCAGGAGGCGGAGGCTGCGGTGAGCCGAGATCGCGCCATTGCACTCCAGCCTGGGTAACAAGCGTGAAACTCCGCCTCAAAAAAAAAAAAAAAAAAAAAAAAAAAAAAAAAATTAGCCAGATGTGGTGGCAGGTTCCTGTAATCCCAGCTACTCGGGAAGCTGAGGCAGAGAATTGCTTGAACCTGGGAGGCGGAGGTTGCAGTGAACCAAGATTAGGACGCTGCACTCCAGCCTGTGCCACAGATCGAGATTCTGTGTCGAAAAATAAAACAGTGATAATATAAAGTGAAACTTCAAGTGGAAAAAGGAAGCAGGGAATGGCCATCAGGAGTATTGAGGGATGGTGTCTCTGAAAAAGTGTTATTTGAGGCTGGGTGTGGTGGCTCACGTCTGTAATTCCAGCACTTTGGCAGGCCAGTGCAGGAGGATCCCTTGAGACCAGCCTGGGCAGCATAGTGAAACCCCATCTCTACTAAAAATACAAAAAGCAGCCTGGCGTGATGGTGTGTGCCTATAATCCCAGCTACTAGAGAGGCTGAGGCAGAGACTCACTTGAACCTGGGAGGTGGAGGTTGTGGTGAGCCAAGATTTAGCCACTATGCTCCAGCTTGGGTGACAGAGTGAGACTCCATCAAAAAGAAAAAGAAAGAAAGAAAGGAAGGAAGGAAGAAGGAAGGGAGGGAGGGAGGGAGGGAGGGAGGGGAGCCGATGGTATTGGCTGAGGCACTGGGTATGGATGTGGGGGACAGAGAGGACTTTAGGGGGTGGCCAGAAAGATGAAGGTGCTAAGACCAGTAGTCACCACCACCACCATCATCATCATGGCAGCTCTCACAGGGCACCTATAGCGTGCTAGGCTCCATGCCGATTCAGAGCCTCACATGCATGACCTGCTTATATCCTTATGACTATCCACAGATCCAGGAGGTAGAGATAAGAGCTGCGATAGAATTCAAGATTTATTTAAAGCCGGGCGCGGTGGCTCAAGCCTGTAATCCCAGCACTTTGGGAGGCCGAGGCGGGTGGATCACGAGGTCAAGAGATCGAGACCATCCCGGTCAACATAGTGAAACCCCGTCTCTACTAAAAATACAAAAAATTAGCTGGGCGTGGTGGCACGTGCCTGTAATCCCAGCTACTCGGGAGGCTGAGGCAGGAGAATTGTCTGAACCCAGGAGGCGGAGGTTGCGGTGAGCCGAGATCGCGCCATTGCACTCCAGCCTGGGTAACAAGAGCGAAACTCGGTCTCAAAAAAAAAAAAATTTTTTTTTTGAGACAAGGTCTCACTCTGTCTCCAGGCTGGAGTGCAGTGGCACGATCTCAGCTCACTGCAACCTCTGCCTCCTGGGTTTAAGCGATTCCCATGCCTCGGCCTCCCAAGTAGCTAATTTTTGTATTTTTAGTAGAGACGGTATTTCACCGTGTTAGCCAGGATGGTCTCGATCTCCTGACCTCGTGAGCCTCCTGAGTTGGCCTCCCAAAGTGCTGGGATTACAGGCTTGAGCCACCGCGCCCGGCTCAAGCGATTCTCTTGCCTCAGCCTCCCGAGTAGCTGGAACTACAGGCCCGCGCCGGCACACCCGGCTAATTTTTGTAACTTTAGTAGAGACGGGGTTTCCCCATGTGGTCCAGGCTGGTCTCGAAGTCCAGACCTCAGGTGATCTGCCCTCCTCAGTCTCCCAAAGTGCTGGGATTGCCCTTGTGAGCCACCGTGCCTGGCTCATTTTTATTTATTTATTATTATTATTATTATTATTATTATTATTTGAGACGGAGTTTTTTTGCTCTTGTTACCCAGGCTGGAGTGCAATGGCACGATCTCGGCTCACCACAACCTCCGCCTCCTGGGTTCAGGCAATTCTCCTGCCTCAGCCTCCTGAGTAGCTGGGATTACAGGCACGCGCCACCATGCCCAGCTAATTTTTTGTATTTTTAGTAGAGATGGGGTTTCACCATGTTGACCAGGATGGTCTCGATCTCTTGACTTCGTGATCCACCCGCCTCGGCCTCCGAAAGTGCTGGGATTACAGGCTTGAGCCACCACGCCCGGCCTATTATTATTTTTTTTAATTTTAATTTTTATTTTTTTGAGACAGAGTTTCGCTCTTGTTACCCAGGCTGGAGTGCAATGGCGCCATCTCGGCTCACCGCAACCTCCGCCTCCTGGGTTCAAGCAATTCTCCTGCCTCAGCCTCCTGAGTAGCTGGGATTACAGGCACGTGCCACCATGCCCAGCTAATTTTTTTGTATTTTTAGTAGAGACGGGGTTTCACCATGTTGACCAGGATGGTCTCGATCTCTCGACCTCGTGATCCACCCGCCTTGGCCTCCCAAAGTGCTGGGATTACAAGCTTGATATTTATTTATTTATTTAGAGGCGGAGTTTTGCTCTTGTTGCCCAGGCTGGAGTGCAGTGGCACGATCTCGGCTCACCGCAACTTCTGCCTCCTAGGTTCAAGCAATTCTCCTGCCTCAGTCTCCCGAGTAGCTGGGATTACAGGCGTGCGCCACCACGCCCAGCTAATTTTGTATTTTTAGTAAAGATGTTGGCCAGTCTGGTCTCAAACTCCTGACCTCAGGTGATTCCCACCACCTCAGCCTCCCAAAGTGCTGGGATTACAGGTGTGAGCCACTGTGTCCGGCCTGCCTCTGCCTATTTCTTTGTTTAGTTGTTTGTTGTCTGTTTTCTGGATAAAGTGAACTTCATGGAGGCAGGGACATTTTCATTCCCATCTCACAGATCGGGAAACTAGAAGGAAGCCCAGCACAAAGTAGGTTCTCATGGTTTCAGGACTATTTGTTGAACGAATATGCAAGTCCGTTTGTCTCGAGCGGCGGGGAGTGCACCGCACCGCCCCCTGGTGGAAAGTGGGAAACGTGTCCACCTTCGTGATTATCAAATTTCCTGGAAGACCTTCAAGTCCACCCTCACCCACTGCGTAGTAGCAGAAATGAACACCATTCCACAAATACACACAACACGCTTTTTATGATTATAATTTTATGATGAAGGCCGGGCGCGGTGGCTCAAGCCTGTAATCCCAGCACTTTGGGAGGCCGAGGCGGGTGGATCACGAGGTCGAGAGATCGAGACCATCCTGGTCAACATGGTGAAACCCCGTCTCTACTAAAAATACAATAAACATTAGCTGGGCATGGTGGCGCGTGCCTGTAATCTCAGCTACTCAGGAGGCTGAGGCAGGAGAATTGCCTGAACCCGGGAGGCGGAGGTTGCGGTGAGCCGAGATCGTGCCATTGCACTCCAGCCTGGGTAACAAGAGCGAAACTCCGTCTCAAAAAAAAAAAAAAAAAAAAAGAAAAGAAAGAAAGAAAGAAAAATAATAATAATAATTTTATGATGAACTTGTAAAATTTATTTTTTGATTTCTTGGGACTATTGTTTAAGCTGAAGCATAAGTTACACACTTCTCTAAAGTCCCCAATTCTTTTTTTTTTTTTTCTTTTTAGGGACAAAGTCTCCCTCATTGCTCAGGCTGGAGTGCAGTGGCGCGATCAGATTTCAACGCAGCCTTGAACTCCTGAAGCTCACTTTTTTTTTTTTTTTTTTTTGAGAGTTTCGCTCTTTTTTTGCCCGGGCTGCAGTGCAGTGGCCCGATCTCAACTCACTGCAACCTCCGCCTCCCAGCTTCAAGCGATTCTCCTGCCTCAGCCTCCTGAGTACCTGGGATTACAGGCGCACGTCACCACCTCCAGCTAATTTTTTGTATTTTTAGTAGAGACGGGGTTTCACCATGTTGGCCAGGCTGGTCTTGAGCTCTTGACCTGGTGATCCTCCGGACTTGGCCTCCCAAAGTGCTGGGATTACAGGCATGAGCCACTGCGCCCGGCCTATCTTATTTTTAATTCCTTCTCTGGACATTTCTTTTTCGATTCTTTGCTTTGCATAATTATACCTACAAGAAAACAAGCATCCCAAAGTCACCAAGATAAATCCTCCCACTCCAACTTCACATGATCTAATTCTACTGGTTAACAAAAACTGTCCACACCCAGCCACAACAGATCCTAATGAACCATACAACATATGTAGCTAGGCGTGGTGGCTAACACTTTAATCCCAGCGCTTTGGGAGGCTGAGGTGGGTGGATCACAAGGTCAGAAGATCAAGACCATCCTGGCTAACACAGTGAAACCCCGTCTCTACTAAAAACACAAAAATTAGCCAGGCGCGGTGGTGCATGCCTGTCATCCCAGCTACCCGGGGGGCTGAGGAAGGAGGATCGCTTGAATACGGGAGGCAGACATTGCAGTGATCTGAGATCGCACCACTGCACTCCAGCCTGGGCAACAGAGTAAGACTCTGGGTCTCGAAAAAAAAAAAAAAAAAAAAAAAAAAGGAGGGGCGCGGTGGCTCACGCCTGTAATCCCAGCACTTTGGGAGGCCGAGGCGGTCAGATCACAAGGTCAGGAGTTTGAGACCAGCCTGGCCAATATGGTGAAATTCCGTCTTTACTAAAAATACAAAAATTAGTCCGGTGTGGTGACAGGCACCTGTAATCCCAGCAACTTGGGAGCCTGAGGCAGGAGAATCGCTTGATCCCAGGAGGCGGGGGTTGCAGTGAGCCGAGATTGTGCCTCTACACTCCAGCCTGGGTGACAGAGGGAGGCTCCATCTCAATATGTATACATATATATTTCTTTCTACTGAGAGAAATGAGGGGCTGGAGGCGGAAATAGCTTGAATAACGAGGTAGAGGCCAGGGCGTGAGGACGGTGTCTCCTTTTCCTGGGTGTTGGTAATTCAGGCAGGAGGTTGGATGAGCTTCCAGAACACCTGTAGGAGTCAGGTGGCCCCGCTCCCGCCTCCACCGCGGCCCCTTTAAGGCTCCCGGAAACGGTCCCATAGGACCGGAAGTGACCCTCTTTATTTCCCTTCCTCACGTGGTGCGGGCAGGAAGTGACGCGCGCGGCCCGGGAGCTGCGGACGTAGAGGCCGACGGAGCCGGAGTCGCGGACGCCGCGGGGTCTCCGGGACAGGTGACCGCGGGAAGGGGGCCGGGAGCGCGCCCAGGAAGGCGGGGCCTGAAGCCCCACGTGGCGGGGAGCGCCAGCTGGAGCTGGCGGGGTGAGGAGCCGCCGGCGGGGGCGGGGTCGGAGTACTCTGCGGGGGGCGGGGACAGGACGCCCACTTCGGAAGCTGAAGAGGCGCTGGCGGGGCGGGCGGTTGCGGGGGTGGGCAGCGTCGGGGCGGGCCAGGGGCGGGGCGGGGCCAGAGCCTGGGCGGGCCGCTGGGGGCGGGGCCGAAAAGTTGTATCTTGGCTGTGGGCGGGGCCAAAGTGTTGCTCGGATAGCTGTGGGGCGGGGCCGGGACGCGGAGCGGAAGCGCTGTGGGTTGGGCCAGAAAGTTTTGCCTGAGCTGGAAGTGGGTCCGGATTGTTGGCCGGGACGTAGGGGGCGGACCCAGAGCCTGACGCCAGGAGGGGGCGGGGCCAAAAGTCGTGGAGAGCCAGGGGGCAGGGCCAGGATGTTGGCGGGGGAATGCTCAGGGTGGAGCCAGAAAGTTTTGCCAGAGCCAGGGGCGCGGCCAAAGCGTTGGCGGGGAAGCGGGGAGCTGAGCCAGAACCCTGGCTGGGGAAGCCAGGGGCGGGGCCGGATACTGACGCAACAAGGCGTGGGAGGAAGTCAGGGGGTGTGTCCAGAAAGTTGGCCAGGCCAATCGGAGGCGGGGCCAGAGGGTGGACTGGGCAGGCGGGGGGCGGGGCTGGAATAATAATGAGGTGGCGGGGGAGGGTCTTGGCTGTTGCCTAGGAGCCAGGAGGTGGGGAAAGAGGGTGGCTGGGAAAGTCGGGAGCCGGGTCAGATTAGTGGTCCATGGGTGGGGGCGGGCCAGATGTCTGGCGGGAAAGGCGGGGCCAGAAAGTTTATCCCCCAAGCCGGGGGCGGGGCCAGAGCGGTTTCTAGGATGTCGGGGGCGTGGCCCTGGCATTCCCAGCCGGATTGAGGCTGGAGATTTGCGCAGGGAATCTGGGGCGGGCCTGGGAAGTTTTGACCTTGTTGCTGGTGGACTATTCACTGGGGCAAAAAGTCAGTTCCAGGAAGCCTCGCCAGTGAGTTCTGGGGCCTCAGTGCAGAATACTTTTGGGAGAGGCGGGAGGCTATCGCCCTTCCTTAGTAGGGTGCTGGAGACGGGCCTAGGACGTCTCTTGGGAAGGCGCGGGCTTGGCATGTTCTCTGAGAGCTTGGGCAGCCAATAAGAGTGGGGTTCAGGCCGGGCGCGGTGGCTCAAGCTTGTAATCCCAGCACTTTGGGAGGCCGAGGCGGGTGGATCACGAGGTCGAGAGATCGAGACCATCCTGGTCAACATGGTGAAACCCCGTCTCTACTAAAAATACAAAAAATTAGCTGGGCATGGTGCCACGTGCCTGTAATCCCAGCTACTCGGGAGGCTGAGGCAGGAGAATTGCCTGAACCCAGGAGGCGGAAGTTGCGGTGAGCCGAGATCGCGCCATTGCACTCCAGCCTGGGTAACAAGAGCGAAAACTCCGTCTCAAAAAAAAAAAAAAAAAAAAAAAAAAAAAGAGTGGGGTTCAGACTTTCTTTGGAGCATGGGATTGGGAATGTTTCTGAGCCTTATGTGGTGGAGCTAAAATGTTTGTCTGGATATGAGAGGCACCAGGAGGAGCACGGGGACGTGCGTCTGGAGGAACTTTCTTGTGCAGGCTAGTTTAAGGGGTTGTAGTTGGAACTCTCTTGAGTTAAGGAATTCGGTCTAACGCTCATACTACAGGGTGTGGAGGCTGGAGTAGAATCTGCGTTTGGAGGAGAGCAGTGTTGGGTACTTAAGTAGTGGGTGGGGGCCACAGCATCTCCAAGGTGGGTTTGACTAGGTCGTTTACGTGGGAACTGGGTGAGTCCACAAAGATCATGAAAGAGCTGAGTCTAAATCTCTTTAGAGACGGGGGAGGTAGCAGTTGAAGAAGGGAGGGAGAGTGAAGGCTAGAATTCTTTTGGGGTACGGGGTTTTTTGTGTGTGCCTGTGAGGATGAAGTAGATTGGGGGGCGATTGGCCTTAGCCCTTCTTTTCCCTCTGTACCCAGGAACCCTCAGTGCTGCATCCAGATTGTGCAGGAGAGGTTTGCTGTGGCTGTGGGCCTACCCAGCCAGCCGAATGGTGAGACTGAAAGTGGGGTCTGTAGCACGCCTCTGGGTGCTGCGCTTTGGGGAAGAGGGCTTGGGAGCATGGGCTCCAGGGGGCAGACTCTCAGACCCTAGGGGAATGTCCCTGGTGTGGGTGGAGGTGTCTCCTTCCCGCCGTCAACTGTCTCCCCATCTCAGGCAGCCGCACTCGATTTGAAATCAAAGCAGGAGAAGGATGCTGAGCTGGACAAGAGGATCGAGGCTCTCCGGCGGAAGAACGAGGCGCTCATCCGGCGCTACCAGGTGCCCTAGCCCCGCCCTGGGAGACCCCATCCCCTCTCTTCCCCGCAGTGAGTTTTTCTCACCTCTCCCTTCCTTAAAACCTTTTCATGACTCCCCATCACTGTCAGGATAAAAGCCAAAGGTCTTAGCTTAACATCCCTTCCTTCATTCCATTATTCATTCATTCATTCATTCGTTCACAAATATTCCTCAAGATCTTTACAGTACCCCCCCCCCCCGCCGTGATGAGGGGGGTGCCGGGGCTAGAGCCGTGCCTGAGGCAGACCCAGACCTGCCCCTCAAGGGCCCACCGTCTCGTCAGGGATGACAGCCCTGTACCCAGTCAGGGATGTCCCACAGCGGACAAGTCTGGAATCAGGAAATTCAGGGGTCTGTGAGAGTCCAGAGGAGGCTCCTGACCCAGCCTTGGGGATATCAGGGAGGGCTTCCTGGAGGAGTGGACGCTGAGGCTTGAGTGGTGAGTAGATAATAGGCAGTTGAAAAGGAGAGGGGAACATGTTTCAGGCAGAGAGAACAGTTTGTGCAAGTGTTGGAAGCAGGAGAGAGCTTGGAGCTTCAAGCTGGAGGGTTGTTTAAGGAGAGAATTGACCTGGGCAGGTCAGCAGAGGCCAGGCTGTGCGGGACCCTGAATGCCACCAGGCTGAGTTTGGACTTTCTCCTGAGGTCACTGGGAAGTCAGGGAGGGCCTTGAGCAGGGGTGGGACCGGTCAGAATAGCTCTTTAGGAAGACGCCTCTGGGTGCTGTGTGGTGGTAGGTGGGAGAAGGTAAAACTGGAGCCCAGAGACCAAGGAGGAAGCTGGGGCTGGAACCCCAGTGGGAGAGGAGGTGCCTGGCTCAGGGCAGGGCTGTTGAGAGGGACTTAGTTACTGATGGGCTCTTGCGGGCAGCGAGGGGACGAGGGCGCGTTTAGGACAAGGCCCCTGAGTAGGTGGTGTGGCTGTCCCTGAGATGGGATCTGGAGGAGGCATGGGTTTCATTTATTCACTCTTCGTGTATTCATTCATTTTTTAAAAAGGCATGTTGAGTTTCTTTTGTGGGCCAGTGTTCTAGGCTTGGGATACATGTCAGTGACATATATCACCGAAAGCAGACAGACATGCCTGAGCCCAGGCAGATTCTACCGTAATGGAGGAAGCAGACAGTGAGCAAGACGCACACCGTGCTGGGTGTGAATGGGATGAGAACAGAGAGGGTGGCAGGGCAGCTGGTTTCCGTGGGGCGCTAGGGAAGGCCTCAGAGAAGGCAGCATTGGAGTGGAGACCTGCAGGAAGTGAGGGCTGGGAGGATCTCTGGGAGGGGTGCGCTGGTGCAGAGCCCCTGAGGCAGGTTTGAGCCCGGTGTGTTCTGGGAACAGCAAGGAAGCCGGAGTGATCGAGGGGAACTGGGAGAGAGACGAGGTAGGGAGGTACCAACGCCAGACCCCATGGGTCCCGCAGGCTTTGGAGAAAGCTGTTACTCAGAGCTGGGCACCACAGGAGCGATCTGAGCGGGGCAGCAGCGTGATGGGGCTTGAGAGACGTGAGCAGTTTCTCATCCAGAGCCCAGGAGAGAGGCCTGGGCTGGGGCCGGACTTAGGAGGCATTCCAGGGGTCTGTGGGAGTTCGTCTGGCGGACAGCGCAGCTGACGCTTCCCTACCCTGGGTGTCTGCTCCTAGGAGATTGAGGAAGACCGTAAAAAAGCTGAACTTGAGGGAGTGGCGGTCACAGCTCCCCGGAAGGGCCGCTCGGTGGAGAAAGAGAACATGGCACTGGAGGCGGTGAGCTCCTCGGGGGGTGAGGGACCCTGAGGATGGGGAGGGGCGGGGGGTGGAGGGCTGGGACCCAGGAGTCCTCAGCTGCCCTGCACCAGCGGGCGGCCCCCATCCTGGCTACATGCCTCCTGCCCAGTGACTGTACTTTCCTCATCTTCCCTCTTTCAGGAGAAGAACGTGGGTCCTTCCCGGAGGTCTCCTGGGACCCCTCAGCCCCCAGGGGCCAGCAAGGGGGGCCGGACTGCTCCGCAGCAAGGAGGCCGCACCAGCATGGGCCAGGCATCCCGCAGCTGGGAGGGCAGTCCTGGGGAGCAGCCTCGAGGAGGAGCCAGGGGCCGTGGCCGGCGGGGCCGGGGCCGCGGGTCCCCTCACCTCTCTGGAGACACCTCCGCTTCTGACCGGAAATCCAAGGTAGGGTCTGGGCAGCGCCTGGAGCCCTGGCCGAGGTGCCCCGTTGTCTGTTCCTACTCCCAGGTGCACCGCTGTCCTGCGGGTCCGGCCTGCGGCATCCGTCTCTGAGCCTCTGCATCTGGCTCTGTCTCTCTTACTCCACCTCCTCCTCTGCTCCCAGTCTCCTGGTTCCTCCCCTTCCTTCCCTCTCTCCTCCGCCCAGAGCTCGTGTGTCCTCTCCTTGTCACTTTCTCTCCTTCTCCTGCTCCCCCTCTTCTCATTCCTCCTCGCCTGCCTTCGCTGCCGTCTCTTCTAGTGCTGCATGTCCCCCCGTCCCTCTCTCTGTCCGCCTTTTTCTCGCTCTTTGGTGCACGCTTGCCTGCTCCGCCTCGGTCCCTGTCTCTCCTCCCTTTCTGGCACTGTCTGTCTGTCTGTCTGGTGGGCTCTCTCTGTCTGGTATGCTTGTGAGCACAGGCTCCATGTGGCATTGTGTTTCTGTATGTTTGTCTTAGTTCCTGGCTTTGTGGGAGCAGTGATCTTTTTTTCCTTTAATTTTTTTGAGACTGAGTCTTGCTGTTACCCAGGCTGGAGTACAGTGGTGTGATCTCGGCTCACTGCATTTCCGCCTCCCGGGTTCAAGTGGGTCTCCTTCCTCAGCCTCCTCAGTAGCTGGAATTACAGGCGCCCACCACCGTGCTTGGCTAAGTTTTGCATTTTTAGTAGAGCCGGGGTTTCCCCATGTTGGCTAGGCTGGTTTTGAACTCCTGACCTCAAGTGATCTGCCTGCCTCAGCCTCCTAAAGTGCTGGGATTACAGGTGTGAGCCACCGCGCTCAGTGGGAGCAATGATCTATTACTGTAACTCCCTCACTTACCCCTGACGTTCAGCTCAGCAGGGTGGCAGGCTGTCTAGCTGAGTGGCTTAGAGCCCACCGTGGACATGGGTGGGACCTGGTCCTGTGAGCCACCTGTCCTTGGGCAGCTGCTGTCCCCTGTGAGCTTCTGGTTATAGCACTTACAGGGGAATAAGAAATACAAAAATTAGCTGGGTGTGGTGGTGGGCATGTGTAATCCCAGCTACTTACGAGGCTAAGGCGGGAGGATCACTTGAACCTGGGAGGTGGAGGTCACAGCTGAGGTTGTGCCACTGCACTCTAGCCTGGGTGACAGAGTGAGACTCCTCAAAAAAAAAAAAAAAAAGAATTAGACTTAAATTGGGCATGCCAAGCTGCTATCACAAAAAGACTTCAAAATCCCACGGCCTAAGTAGAGTAGGAGTTTTTCTCTCTCTCTCTCTCTCTTTTTTTTTTTTTTTGAGACCGAGTCTCACTCTGTCAACCAGGCTGGAGTGCAGTGGCCCAATTTCAGCACACTGCAACCTCTGCCTTCCACGTTCAAGCACTTCTCGGCCTCAGCCTCCTGAGTAGCTGGGATTAAAGGCGCCCACCAGCATGCCTGGCTAATTTTTATATTTTTAGTAGAGGTGGGGTTTCACCATCTTGGCCAGGCTGGTCTTGAACTCCTGACCTCATGATCCACCTGCCTCAGCCTCCCAAAGTGCTGGGATTACAGGTGTGAGCCACTGCACCTGGCTATTTCTCTCTTACATGCTGAGCCCTGCAGGGAGGCGGCTGGTTCATTGGGTGAGGCTCTGCTCCGTGATGTCTGTCACTCGGGGACAGATACTTGCTTTTTTTTTTTTCTTTTTTGAGATGGAGTCTCATTCTGTTGTTAGACTGGAGTGCAGTGGCACAATGTTGGCTCACTGCAGTCTCTGCCCCCTGGTTTTAAGTGATCCACCTGCCTCAGCCTCCCGAGTAGCTGGGATTACAGGTGTGTGCCACCAAACCCAGCTAATTTTTTTTTTTTTTTTTTTTTTTTTGAGATGGAGTTTCGATCTTATTGCATAGGCTGGAGTGCAATGGTGCGATCTTGGCCTGTCACATCCTCCCCCTCCCAGGTTCAAGTGATTCTCCTGCCTCAGCCTCCCACGTAGCTGGGATTACGGGCATCCACCGCCACACCCAGCTGATTTTGTATTTTTAGTAGAGACAGGGTTTCTCCATGTTGATCAGGCTGGCCTCGAACTCTCGACTTCATGTGATCCGCCCGCCTCAGCTTCCAAAAGTGCCGGGATTTACAGGTGTAAATCCACCGAGCCTGGCCTACTTATTTTATAGAGACAAGGTCTTGCTCTGTTGCCTAGGCAAGAGTGCACTGGCACAGTCATAGTTCACTGTAGCCTTGACCACCTGGTCTCAGGGCATCCTCCAGCCTCAGCCTCCTGAGTAGGTGGGACTGCAGATGTGTGCCACCACACTTGGCTAACTTCTAAAATTTTTTGTAGAGACAGTCTTGCTATGTTGCCTAGTCTGGCCTCGAACTCCTGGGCTTAAGCAGTCCTCCTGCCTTAGCCTCTCAAAGTGCTCAGATTAGAGGTGTGAGCCACCACGTCAGCCTGGAGGCTGGTTTTGAATGCAGGCCCCCTCCGTCTAGTGTGACTGAAATTCCAGACCCCCCAGTAGAAAAGTGAGTGCAGTGTATAGTTGTTCTCGTAGTCTAGGCCAGGTGAGCCAGCCACGTCAGTTCACTTCTGACCCAGAGACGCAGAGAGCAAATGCCCACCAAGGACCTGCCTGGTCAGTAGGCCAGTCCGAGGAGAGCCGCCTCAGCCTGTGGGGTGGTCCCCTCCTGCACCTTCGGCTTAATAGTTCTCCCTGAAGTGGGTTGTCTCTGTCCTTGTCCCCCCAGGAGTGGGAGGAGCGGCGCAGGCAGAACATTGAGAAGATGAACGAGGAGATGGAGAAGATCGCAGAGTACGAGCGCAACCAGCGGGTTAGTGGTGTGAGTGTTCCTGTGGCGGGCTGAGCCCGGGCCGCGAAGCCCGTGCCAACCCCCTGCTCCTGTGCCTGTAGGAAGGGGTGCTCGAGCCCAACCCTGTTCGGAACTTCCTGGATGACCCCCGGCGACGCAGTGGGCCCCTGGAGGAGTCTGAGCGGGACCGCCGGGAGGACAGCCGCCGGCATGGGCGCAACTGGGGGGGCTCCGACTTCGAGCGGGTGCGCTGTGGCCTCGAGCATGAGCGGCAGGTGGGTGATGGCGGCTGGGATACCCCGGGGCTCAGATGCGGACTGTGCACGGTGGGAACCAGACAGATGAGGGCCGTGGGGCCTTTCCTTATTTGTGCCATAGCACACACGATGTTTTTTTTTGAGACGGGGTCTTGCTCTGTCACCCAGGCTGGAGTGCAATGGCACCATCTTGGCTCACTGCAACCTTCACCTCCCGGGTTCAAGCAATTCTCCTGCCTCAGCCTCCAAAGTGGCTGGGATTACAAGTGAGCACCACCACATCTGGCTAATTTTTTTGTATTTTTAGTAGAAACTGTTTCACCACGTTGGCCAGGCTGGTCTCGAACTCCTGACCTCAAGTGATCCACCTGCCTTGGCCTCCCAAAATGCTGGGATTACAGGCTGAGGCACCGCACCTGGCCAGGATTTTAATTATTAAGGATTTATTGTATGTTTTGTTTCCTGCTGAGGCAAGTCATTCCTCATTATTAATGACACCAGCATTTGTGAGGCACCTACCAGGTGGCTGTGTGAGGAGTGGGGACCTGGCCTGGGAGGGGAGGGAGGGGTAATGTCCTTGCACTTGGTGGTTCTTCTAAATTGTCCGTCTGTTGGTTCTTCTCCCAGTAACCACACTGCTCTAGTTGTTACAGCTTTGTGGTATGTTTGAGTGTTTTCTTGTTACTAACATTAGTATTGTTTACTGGGCACCTACTATGTGCTGCACACTGTTTTGTTTTTGGAGACAAGAGTTTTGCTCTGTCACCTGGGCTGGCGTGAGCTCAGCTCATTGCAACCTCCACTTCCTGAGTTCAAGCAATTCTCCTGTCTCAGCCTCCTGAGTAGCTGGGATTATAGGCGGGTGCCACCACACCCAGCTAATTTTTGTATTTTTAGTAGACACAGGTTTTCACCGTGTTGGTCAGGCTGGTCTCGATCTCGTGACTTCATGATCCACTTGCCTCAGCCTCCCAAAGTGCTGGGATTACAGGGGTGAGCCACTGTGCCTGGCTTTTTTTTTTTTTTTCTTTTTTTGGATAGGCACCATTTTAGGAGCTGGGGATTAGAGTTTTGAGGTAGAGCCCCTGAGCTGAGTAAATGAAAACATAGTAAGAGGTCCTGCCAAGTGTTGTGGAGAAAAATCCAGCAGCTGACGGGACAGAGGGATGCTACTTAGGAGATCTGGGAGGACCTCTCTGAGGAGGTTAGGAGGTGCCATCTGAGCCGACTTAGTTGTGATGTCTGCCTTGTCACCGCTTCCGTGTGTGACCCTGAGCAAGTGGATGTGCCTTGGGGCTTAGGGATGCGGTGGGATGTGGGACAGTGCCCTGACCACCTGTGCACTGGGGGATAGGGCCGCCGAGCTGGCCTGGGCAGTACTGGAGATATGACGCTGTCCATGACGGGCCGGGAGCGGTCAGAGTACCTGCGCTGGAAGCAGGAGAGGGAGAAGATCGACCAGGAGCGGCTGCAGAGACACCGCAAGCCCACTGGCCAGTGGCGGCGCGAGTGGGACGCCGAGAAGACCGATGGGATGTGAGTCCCCTCCCCGCTCCCCTCCCTGCTCCCTTTCCCGCTGTCCTCCCCTTTACCTCCCCGCTCCCTCCCCCTTCCCCTCCCTGCTCCCTTCCCCTTCCCCTCCCCGCTCCCTCCCCCTTCCCCTCCCCGCTCCCTCCCCCTTCCCCTCCCCGCTCCCTCCCCCTTCCCCTCCCCGCTCCCTTCCCCACTCCCTCCCCGCTCCCTCCCCCTTCCCCTCCCTGCTCCCTTCCCTTTCCCCTCCCCGCTCCCTCCCCGCTCCTTCCCCACTCCTTCCCCACTCCCTCCCCGTTTCCTCCCCGCTCCCTTCTCGTTCCCGCCCCGCTCCCTCCACGTTTCCCTCCTCGCTCCCTCCTCACTCCCTCCCCCTTCCCCTCCCCGCTCCCTCCCCGCTCCCTCCCCCTTCCCCTCCCCGTTCCCTCCCCGCTCCCTTCCCCACTCCCTCCCCCACTGTCCGGTCTCCTCTTTCCTCCCCCCTCCCCGCTCCCCTCCCCGCGTGGCTCCCTGACTTTGGCCCTGACTTGTAAGTCCTGTGCTTCTCTCTGGTTCCTCCTGCTGCCTATGAGTGAGTGACTGCCGCATTCTCAGATGCTGTGGGTCAGCTCAGATCTCAGTGGCACGTAAGAGCATTTCTGGGTTTTTTTTTGTTTTGGAGACTGGAGCCTTGCTCTGTCACTCAGGTTGGAGTGCAGTGGCAGGATCTCTGCTCATGCAACCTCCACCTCCTGGGTTCAAGTGATTCTTCTGCCTCAGCCTGCCGAGTAGTTGGTATGAGAGCGTTTCTTACGTGTTCACGCGTTCACGGGTCAGCTGGGCTCAGCTGATCCAGGCTGGATGCTAAGCTGTGAGTCCCGTGGGGCTTGGCTCCTTGTGGCAGGGCGAACTCACTCTGCTCCAGGGTGGCCATTCTGCTGTCCAGGCTGAGGGTAGCAGCTGCCTAGGGAGCGCTTGTCCTGATAGGGCAGATGCACAAGCAGGCACACTTCCCAGTGTTGTTGTCAGCACGCCGCGCCTCACTGGGGCGGGGAAATAAGCTCCGCTCACTGCAGTGGATAGGAGCGCTGGTGGCAGTGGCGCTGGTGAAGGCTGCTGAACAGCGATTAGACCTTTGCATCCTCCCACCTGCCTCTGACCCGTCACCACCAACCTCCATGCCTCACCACCACCTTCCTACCCCAGTGGCATCGTTACCCTCTAGTTTCACTGTGTCCTCGCATTCAGTCAGACTTAAATGCCTCACCGCGTCATCCACATGAGGGCTAACCTCCATAGCCAAGAAGGAGAAGGTTCTGGAAGAGCCGATAAATGGCAGTCTTGAAAGATCAGCACCGTTAGGTTTCTGTGTTGAAAGTTTTCATTCATGGCTGGGTGCAGTGACGCACCTATAATCCCAGCACTTTGGGAGGCCGAGGCTGGAGGATTGCCTAACTCGGGTCTGCAGTGAGCTGTTACCACGCCACTGCACTCCTGCCTGGACCACAGAGAAAGAACCTGTCTTTAAGAAAAAGAAAAATGTGGCTGGGCGCGGTGACTCACGCCTGTGATCCCAGCGCTTTGGGAGGCCGAGTTGGGTGGATCATCTGAGGTCGGGAGTTCAGGACCAGCCTGACCAATGTGGAGAAACCCCGTCTCTATAAAAAATTTAAAAAATGTATGGTGCTTTGCTTTTGTCAGCACATATTTGAGTCTCCCTATGTTATGGAAAGTTCTAGGTGATAACAGTGGCAGATGGAAACATTTCTGCCTTTGCGGAACTGACTGTAGTGGGCAAGGTGGGTAATGAAGAGGTGTAACGCCACATCTGGAAAGATAGTGAAGCAGAGTAAGCAGCCAGGGTGGGGGGTAGAATTTTAGACTTAGGTATTTTGTGTAATAATACCTTTTTTATTTTTTGAGATGGAGTCTTGCTCTGTCATCCAGGCTAGAGTACAATGGCACAATCTCAGCTCACTGCAACTTCTGCCTCTCGGGTTCAAGTGATTCTCCTGCCTCAGCCTCCTGAGTAGCTGAGATTACAGGTGCCTGCCACCACGCCTGGCTAATTTTTGTATTTTTAGTAGAGACAGGGTTTAATCCTGCGTAGGGCTGTGGAGGCCCCACAGGGTCGTGGGGTGTCCCTTATGCTATGTTGAGGTGCAGGATCCAAGAGGTAAAGACAGGACACTGAAGAACTGGCGAAGAGCATCTGGACTCGGGGAGCCCCACCACCTGTGAGTGGAGATGGCGAGGCCCCCAAATGCCCCAGAGCGTCTGTATTTATTAGGTACAAGCAGGGGGCAGGGTTGTCAGTGAGGTCATCATCTGTAAGCTTAGCATACACGTGAGTTACAAGCGAGGGGACCACCCCGTTATGTCACCTGGGCAGAGAGGTGGGCCGTGTGCAGTAGGGGGCCGTGCCGTGCACAGTAGTAGAGGGTTGTGTACAGAAAAGGGGTCCACCCCATTAGGTCACTGAGGCAAGGAGGTGGGCTGTGTGCAACAGGTGTCGTGTGCAGCACTTCTTATCTGGGGGCTGGAGACTTCAAAGGGTTTCTAACAGTGGGAGCTGACAGACTTGTGCTCTTTTAAGACAATTATGGGAGGATGATTTGAGCTAGCAGAGAATCGAGAAAAGACTGACAGGGTATACAGCCGCCGTGACTGGTCACACCAGAGGGGTTCTCCCTCGGTTACTCCCAGGATCTCAGGCCTGAGGCCGACTTTCCGCAGGAACTGGATGCAAAGTACCACAGCTCCTTTATCAGGAGGAGAGTCTCTTGCTCCAAGCCTGCCATACAGCCTATGCCCTTTTGGGCAGGGACCCCACCGCCTGGGTCTTTGATTCTCGTCCTGGTCTGACTGTTTTCCCATGTACTGCTTCTGTTCTGTGACTGCTCTAGGCATTCCTCCTACTACAAACTACTATATGGTTATGTGGAAGGATTCTATAAATCAGCACTAAATGTGTCAGTACGGCTCCGACTACAATACCTATATGATTATATAGAACTAAGTATGCTAGATATATGTAAGCAGTAAGTTATGCTTCAAGCACGAATTCTGTAAATTAATATGATTGTATATGAAGGATTATTTAAAGGAAACAGCTGAGCAATGACACCGTAAGATATTCTTCAAGTACTAGTTGTGCCTGGGGTCGGGGTGTGGACAGTTCTCCTTCCTCGGGTTCCATGGGGATGTTACCTACAATCTCGGTCTCCAACTCCTGGCCTCAAGTGATCCGCCCACCTTGGCCTCCCAAAGTGTTGGGATTACAGGCATGAGCCACTGTGCCCAGCCCTACTGTTCTCCTGGCTGGGGGTTCAGGGAGGCCTCTGAGCGGAGCTCTGAAGGCAGTGAGGAGAGAGCCACTGAAAAATGTGGGAAGAGCGTTCCAGGAGCAGGCGGTGAGGCCCTGAGGCAGGAGCTAGGTGTGAGGAAGAGCCTGCCTGGCTGGAGAGGTGAGAAGGACTGGTGGGAAAGGTCAGCTAGGGAGCTGGAGATCATGTACTTGTGCAAGGGTCTGTGGTGATCCAAATTTTGTTCCGGTGGCCACATTCTGAATCTTTTTTTTTTTTTAGGACGGAGTTTCGCTCTTGTTACCCAGGCTGGAGTGCAATGGTGCGAACTCGCCTCACCGCAATCTCGGCCTCCTGGGTTCAGGCAATTCTCCTGCCTCAGCCTCCTGAGTAGCTGGGATTACAGGCACGTGCCACCATGCCCAGCTAATTTTTTGTATATTTAGTAGAGATGGGGTTTCACCATGTTGACCAGGATGGTCTCGATCTCTTGATGGCTTGCTCCACCTGCCTCAGCCTCCCAAAGTGCTGGGATTACAGGTGTGAGCCACCGCGCCTGGCCGCCTGAATCTTTTTATTTGTCACTGTGATGTCAAGTTTGCGTCTTGCCCATCAACTGGTCCATCATTTTTTTTTTTTTTTTTTTTTGAGATAGGGTCTCGCTCTGTCACCCAGGCGTGAGTGCAGTGGCTTGATTGTGGCTCACTGCCCTTGAACTTCCAGGCTCAAGCAGTCTTCCCTCCTCAGCCTCCGAGTAGCTGGGATTACGTGTGCACCACCATGCCTGGCTTTGTCTGGGTGACCATCTGTCTCTGATCTGATATGTGACCTTGACCTCCTGTGTCAACTTGCTCCTCTTGCTGCCCTGTCCCTCCACCTGCCTGCTCACCCGTTATCTTTCCCTAGGTTCAAGGACAGCCCGGTCCCTGCTCGAGAACCATCCCACCGCTATGGTGAGTGGGTGCCCTTGGCTGGGGTCAGGCAGGGTCTGGGAGTTGGGGGTGGTGTGTGCCACAACCCTCCCTTCCTGACAATGCCTGGGTGTTCTGTTGCAGATGACCAGGCCTGGGCCCGGCCCCCGAAGCCCCCTACTTTTGGGGAGTTCCTGTCCCAGCACAAAGCCGAGGCTAGCAGCCGCAGGAGGAGAAAGAGCAGCCGGCCCCAGGCCAAGTCAGCGCCCTGGGCCTACAGGTGGGGCACCCCTTTCGCAACTTGCACAGCCCAGGGCTGTCTGAAGGGCTTTCTGGTCTTTGGCTTGCTGTGAAGGTGTGGGCACGTCTGTCTGTCCCTGTCTTTATCTTGGCCCTGTCTATCTCGCAGGTACTTGGTTTCAGGGACTTGGGATCTGGCTTTTGGTTTTATCCTCGTCTGTCCCCTTTCTGCCTCACTCATGTCCCCTCCTGCCACCTGCCCCACCTTCTCTCTGTCCCTGACACCTGGGGACACACCTCCACCATTCCCTCTGTGCTCCAGCATGCCATGTGCTCCGGGTAGCTCCTCCCTAGGCAGGGTGGAGTCAGGAAGCCCCTTTCTCCTGTCCACTCTCCACCCAGGCATCTCCCCACCCTCTGTCCATTCTAGTGACCATGATGACCGCTGGGAGACAAAAGAGACAGCAGCATCTCCAGCCCCCGATGCTCCACAGCCCACTCCCCTCGTGGAGACACCCATGCAGGTGAGGCCAGGCTGCCGTTCAGGGCATGGGCCCCGGGATGGGGGCTCAGGGCCCATGCCTTGCCCTGACCTGCCTGTGTCCCCACAGCCACCCGAGACCCCAGCACCTGCCCACCAGCCTCCCGAAGACGAGGGGGAAGAGAATGAGGAGAATGAGGGGGAAGAGGATGAAGAATGGGAGGACATAAGCGAGGACGAGGAGGAGATTGAGGCGGAAGAAGGAGCTGACGAGGAGGAACCAGCTGAAGACCATGAAGCCCCTGCGGCAGCCAGCCCCACCCTGAGCCCCTGCAGTGAGCAGGCCCATGGAACCCCCTTCAGGCCGGAGGAGCCCCTGCCGGAGCCCCAGGCCCCTGCCACACCTTCCAGCCCTTTCTCGCCACCCAGCGGCCACCAGCCTGTGTCTGATTGGGGTGAAGAGGTGGAGCTGAATTCTCCCCGGACCGCCCACCCGGCTGGCGCCCTCTCTCCGGGTGAGGCCTGGCCTTTTGGGAATGTATGAAACTGGCTGCCTGTGTGTGAATGAGTGCGCTGGAGGGGTGTTGGCTGGTGGGGACCCTCGGGCTGGGCCCCAGGACCCAGTGTGCCCCACAGCCCTGTCGGCTGGGGAGGGCAGCCCATGCCCCTCTGTACTGTCCTGCCCGACTCTGGAATGCCCATTCCAGGAGCCTGCCCCAGCCCTTCGAGCCTCCTCCCCAATAAAGAATTCACATCCTCAAATGACATTCCCCCAGGTGTGTCCTTGAACCTCCCTCAGCTCTCCCTGGGCCTTCTCTCTTGGGGTGGGGAGATGGCAAGTTGGAAAGGGGGCTTGACTGGGCCTCCCCTTCCCTAGGAGGCGACCAGTCAGCCCGGGCTTCCCTGGAGAGCGGGCCCAGCCTCCCAGGATCCCAGAAAGCTGAAGAGGAGGGGTCTGAGGCAACTCCAGGTGGGGGAGTGCATGGGGCAGGGGGTGGAGGCTGCTGCTTCCTCTTTATCCGGGGCTGAGGGCTTGGGGGGAGTGGAATGTGTGTGGGCAGCAACTGGACCATAGAGGGGAAGTGGAAAGGGTGAGCTGAGATAGAGATGGTGGGGGGGGGGGGGCGGGTGCTGGAGCCAGGATGCGGGGGTGGAGCTAAGGGGCGACTTTATGGGCCAGGCCAATCGGAATTGGGTATGTGGGTGGAGGTCGAGGAGGTAAACAAAGAAGGGATTAGAATTTTGGGGTCTAGCTCAGGGGTTTTGGAAAGCACCCATTTAAGAGTAATGGGGTGCCCGGGGACACTGTGGCTCACGCCTGTAATCCCAACACTTGGGGAGGCCAGAGTGGGCAGACTTGAGTTGAGGAGTGTGAGACCAGGGTGGCCAACATGGTGAAACCCCATCTCTACTAAAATAAAATTAGCTGGGGGTGGTGGTGCGCGCCTGTAATCCCAGCTACTTGGGAGGCAGGAGGATCGTTTGAACCTGGGAGGCGGGGGCTGGAGTGAGCCGAGAGCGAGGCTCCGTCTCAAAAAAAACCCAAAAAACAAAAACTAAAAGGAAGGAGGTTGGGGCTTGGTGTCCTAGGGCAGGAGCTAGAGGCGGACTTCGAAATTGAACTGGCTGGAAAAGGCCAAACAGATGGGCAGGGCAGAAAACTGGATTTAACTGTGGCTGGGATCAGTTTTTGAGGTGCAACCTAGTGGGGCAAATTAGAATAGAGATGCAGACCCGATCAGAATTTTGGGACCGACGGAGTGCGAGCAAGAGGCCAAGCCCCTTTCCTGCACCCCGTGGGAATGAGATTTCGAATCTCAGATGGCCTCCCCTCCCCCCCGAGTGGGATTAGGATTTGGGGGCAGAGCCGAGGAAGGACTGGTTTAGAATAGCAGGCGTTGGGGAAGGAGGGGGGAGGGCGGCTCCTCTAGCACTGTTTGGTGGAGGTTGGTGAAGGCCGTGAGATGGGGCGGGGGTGGGAGAGGACAGTTTGCAGCGGCAGGTGGCGCGGGGGCCCAGTCTGCCTTAGGCCACGTGTTGGGAGGCAGATCTCGCCACACCCACGTTTCCTCGATTGTAAGCAGGATTCTGTTGGGGATGTTTGCTGCTGTGTGGGTCCGCTGACAGGATTAAGAATCCGGGGCCCCTAAGCCGCTTAGCGCCAGGCCCGCAGTGGCCGGGCTAGAAAGGGTTGAGGGGCGTGGCTAGATGAGGGAGGGGTCCTGGGCCTGCGGGGAGGTGGGGAGATGCTCCCCTCCGCTGACTCAGCCCCTTCTCTTCCCAGAGGCGAGCCCCGAGGGCCAGGAGACGGCGGAGATCACCGACTTCCAGAGGGTGCGTTTCTGCAAGGTGGTGGCGGCCCCTCCGCCGCCGGGGGCCGCTCGCTGACCGCGCCTGCCGGACCGCGGCCTCTGCGCTCTGCACTAACCTCCCACCGCCTCGCGCCTCTGTCCTCTGCTTCTACCACACTCCAGCCAGGAGAGGGTTAAATGTAAGGGGGGAGGAGCCAGGGTCTGCGAGCTGGGCGAGGCCAGGGCAGTAATCGGTGCCGGCCCCACAGACGGGGTTTGTCGCGGCACACGGACGGCTGGGACTCCTCCGCCTTAGCCTCCCGTGGAGGCCCTGGGCGGCTCGGGCCAGTCCCCAGGCCGAATCTCCCGCCTCCAGGATTGTGATAGCCGGTGACTCTTCCGAAGGGCTTGACTTACTCGGGCGCCAGCCCTGTCCTATTAAACGCAGTGCTTCCGCTCACCCTTGAACTGTGTTTCTGGAGGGGGCAGGCTGGGTCGCTGTGCTTGGCGGGCTTTTCCGTGGCGGAAGAGGCGGGAGGAAGGGGGTCTTCCTCCACCTCCCTGATCCGTCTTCCCTCCCCCCTCCTGCAGGCCTCCCCGAATTCCTGAAGACGCTGCTGGGAGGGGACTGAAGCTTCCCCGCCTTGATGGGGAGGGGTCGTCAGGAAGGGTTTATCTGGATTTCCAGGCTATGTTCTCCCCCAGAGCCTGGTCTGGACCCCCGTGGCTCTAGGGACCGGGAGAAGCTGACGGTGGGGGAGGAGCTGGGAGAAGGGGCGCGTTTGCGGTTAGGGGCGGAGCTGGAACCTGGGAGCCTGATGCTGAGGACACCTGGAAGGGCGGCTGTGTGCTGGAGGTGGGCGGGGCGGGTCCCGCGGGGCGGGGCTAGGCTGCCTGGGCGGGGCCGAAACCGGGCAGGCGGAGTTAGAGCAGAGGGCGGGGCCTGCGCGCGGGGCTGGGGCTTCTGCCACCGGCCTGCGGCGGAGCCGCCAGCGGGGGCGCGGGCAGGGTGCCGCATGGGAGCCTGCGGAGGAGGAAAGCGGGGACTCCTGACTAGAGTGTGGGAGCCAGAGGGCGGAGAGCGGGGGAGGTTTGAGCGCTGGAGTAGACGGTCCGACAGGCAGAGAGAACTGAACCTGGCTGCGGCGGAGGGCGGGGTAGGGCTCCAGGCGGGGCTTGGGCGGAATGAGGGGGCGGGCTCCGAGGCGGGCTAGACGCCTGGGCTGGATGAAGTCCTGGTCCGGTTGTGGTGGGAGGAGGCGGTGATAGAGGTGGTGGGGCTAAGCGCGGGGGCGGGGCTGGAGCGATGAGGGGGCGGGGCTAGCGCCTCCGCGGGCTGGTGGTTAGGAGGAGGCTGGAGGGGGTGAGCCTAAGGATGCAGAGGCGGCCGCTCGCGCGGGGGCGTGACCATGCCTGGCGGGGGTGGGGCCGGAGGTGGGCGATTTAGAGCGCGGGGCGGTCCTGCGGGGCGGGGGCGGGGCCTGTGCGGGCCGCGGCGCGGGGCCGACTGGGCTGCGGGGATGCGGGGCACCAGCTGCGTGGGCGGCGGTGGCGAGAGCCCCGGTGGCGCGGGGCTGAGTGAGGGCCCGCGGGGACGCTGGCTGCGCCTGGCCCCGGTCTGCGCCTACTTCCTCTGCGTCTCGCTGGCCGCCGTCCTGCTCGCCGTGTACTACGGTCTCATCTGGGTGCCCACGCGGTCCCCCGCGGCGCCCGCCGGCCCACAGCCCAGCGCGCCGTCCCCTCCGTGTGCCAACCGCCCGGGCGCGCCGCCTGTCCCGGCGCCCGCCGCTGCCTCCGTCTCCTGCCTCCTGGGAGTCCCCGGCGGCCCGCGACCCCAACTCCAGCTGCAGCTGAGCCGCCGCCGACGCCGCCGCTACAGCAACCCTGGCCGCCGCCCGAGCCACGAGACACCCAGAGAGACGCCGGAGGCCGCGGAGGGGCGAGGACCCGGGTAACCATCCCTTCCACCTAAACTAGGATCGCCAGTCCTCGAGAGCTCTGTGCTCCACACCGCGGATGCGCCGGGGATCCTTCCTAATGACATCGCCCAGCGTCTCCGGAGTCGTCATCCTGAGGAATGGGGGCCCAGGGGGTGCCGGCTCGGGGCCTTGCTTCTTGCAGCTACTCTGTGGTCAGGCCGGATCCTCCACCATCAGGAAGACCCCATCCTGACCTCTGTCACCTGCCCCTCCCCCTGTGGGATGCTGAGCACAGAACCCACAGCCCATCTGCCTCCTCACCTCCCTGAATCCGTGTCCATCTGCAATAAACCACAGCCCCAGCTGCCTCGTGCTGTGTCTGTCCTGTTGTCTGTGGAGATGCACCCCCTTCCCAAGTTTGTGTGGGGAACACCTTCCTGGGGTATAGCCTTTGTCTGTCTTGTCCTGGCCGGGCTGTTCCCCTTCCTTAAGATGTCCTTCTGTTCTTGGTTGGAGTAGGGAGAAGCAGCTTAGCAGTAGCAGGACCTTTGAAGGTCAGACAGTGGGAAGGGCTGCCCAGTTTTTTGTGTGCTTGGAGCAGAGGACAAATGTCTCTGGAGAGAAGCAGAGTGTTCTCTGTTACAGTACAGAAGACAGGAGGGGTGGGATGATTTAGGATAATAGCTGGGGTTCTGGGAATTGCTGTTAGTGTAATTATCACGTCAGGGACAGAGGCTACATCACGCGGGGATCTCAGTTGGCTGCCGAGAGGGAGCGATGCTGGCCCTCTTCCTGGTGTCAGAGATGAGTGCATGGCGGTGGCGGGGGTGGGGGGTGGGGGGGGCTGCTTCTCAGCCTGTCTGGAAATCTCAGAACAAATGACCAACGTGCTATGCTGCCTTGGAAGACTGGTGTGGCCTCTCTGGCCTGCCGCGCTGCTAGGAAATCGAGGCCAGGAAACTGAGGTCTAGCTGCTGGGGAAGGAGTCTGAGGGAAGCGAGGCCCATGAGGCCTGGCTCTGGGCAGCACTTCGGATGGGACATGCAGGAAGCTGGCTCCTGTCCAGCCTCCCCCTTGAGCTGGAGGCCTTCCCACTAGAGGGAAACTGAGCCTCTTCTCTCACACTCTGGCTCTGGGACATCTGTGGATATAGTTACGAAGGTCAGCTACCTTGGTCACCTCCCCAGTTACCCACCACCTCTCCCCAGAGGGTGGCTGTGGACACACTGGGAATCCAGGAAGCCAGCATAGGTGAGGTTACGGGCACTGATGGGCCAGACTGCCTGGGGTTCACACTCCGGCTCTTCTCATTACGTGTGTGGCTTTGGCAGGTCACTCGATTTCTCTTGTTTCTTTTTTTAAAAAGTTTGTTTATGTATATATATATATATATATATATTTTTTTTTTGTTACCCAGGCCGGAGTGCAATGGCGCGATCTCGGCTCACCGCAACCTCCGCCTCCTGGGTTCAGGCAATTCTCCTGCCTCAGCCTCCTGAGTAGCTGGGATTACAGGCACGCGCCACCATGCCCAGCTAATTTTTATTATTTTTAGTAGAGATGGGGTTTCACCATGTTGACCAGGATGGTCTCGATCTCTCGACCTCGTGATCCACCCGCCTCGGCCTCCCAAAGTGCTGGGATTACAGGCTTGAGCCACCGCGCCCAGCTATATATATTTTTTGAGACGGAGTTTTGCTCTGTCACCTAGCTGTAGTGCAGTGGCGTGATCTTGGCTCACTGGAACCTCTGCCTCCCGAGTTCAAGTGATTCTCCTGCCTCAGCCTCCTGAATAGCTGGGATTACAGGCGCCCACCATCATGCCCGACTAATTTTTGTATTTTTAGTAGAGATGGGGTTTTACCATGTTAGCCAGGCTGGGCTTTAACTCCTGACCTCAGGTGATTTGCTCACCTTGACCTCTCATAAAGTGCTGGCATTACAGGTGTGAGCCACTGTGCCCAGCCTTAAAATTTATTTAAAATTTTTAAACTTTTTCATTTAGTAGAAATGGGGTCTCACTATGTTAGCCAGGCTGATCTTGAACTCCTGGACTTAAGTGATCTTGCTGCCTTGGCTTCCCAAAGCACTGGATGATAGGTGTGAGCTGCTGCAGCTGGCCCTGCTTCTGTGGTTCTGTAGAATGAAGATGCTAATTGTACTTATTTCCTAGACTTGTTCTGAGGAATAAATAAGCTGGTGATCTCAAGCCCTAAGAACGATATCACATGTTCTCTGTCTCCACCACCTCTGTCCCTCAGGGCTTCAAAAGCCCCAGCTGGGATCCTCTGGGGATAGCAAGTCAGCCCAAAGCCCTGGCACCAGCAAATGGTGAGTTTGAGGGAGGGGCCTCTCCATCTCAGTTCCCAGGTGCCCCGCTCTTTGCTTTTCATCTCTCTTCTCCCAGCCCCATTTTTTTCTCATTGTTCGTTTCCTTGTTTCTGCGTCTCCTGGCTCTTTTCTCTTTCTGTGTTTGTCTCTCTGCGTCTTAATCTTTGTGTGTCCTGTGTGTCTCTCTGGTGTCACTTGGTATTGTTCTCTCTCCCGCTCTGTATCTCTCTGACTCATTTGGTCGCCTCCCCATTGCTGTCTGTTCCCAGCTCGTTCTGTTTTTCTTCTTTTGGTTTTTTTTTTTTTTTTTTTTGAGACAGAGTCTCACTCTGTTGCCCAGGCTGGAGTGCAGTGGCACGATCTCGGCTCACTGCAACCTCCGCCTCCCGGGTTCAAGAGATTCTCCTGCCTCAGCTTCCTGAGTAGCTGGGTCTACAGGCACCTGCCACCATGCCCGACAAATTTTTGTATTTTTAGTAGAGAGGGGGTTTCACCATGTTGGCCAGGCTGGTCTCGAACTCCTGACCTCAGGTGATCCGCCCGCCTTGGCCTCCCAAAGTGCTGGGATTACAGGTGTGAGCCATGGCGCCCGGCCCCAGCTCATTTTCTTTCTTCTCTCCACACATATCTCACCCCAATACTTTCTCCCAGCTTGCTCCCCCTCCCCGGCCCCCACAGTTTCCCAGTCTCAGCATCCCCTCTCTCCTCCCCTTTCCCTCTCCTCCTGTTTCTCCTCCTGTTTCTCTTTTGGTCTCTCTTGTTTAATGTTTCTTTTAACAAATATTTCTTTAGTTCGGGCACAGTGGCTCTTACCTGTAATCCCAGCACTTTGGGAGGCCAAAGCTGGAGGATCACTTGAGGCCAGAAGTTAGAGACCAGCCTGTGTAACACAGCAAGACTTCGTCTTGACAAAAAACTAAAAATTAGCTGGGCGTGGTGGTGCATGCTTGCCGTCCCAACTACTCAGGAGGCTGAGATGAGAGGATTGCTTGAGCCCAGGAGGCCGAGGCTGCAGTGAGCTATGAACCCGCTACTGCACTCCAGCCTGGAAACAGCAAGACCCTGTCTCTAAAAACTAAAAAATAAATAAATAAATAAAACAACCCCCCCTAAAACCCACAAGTATTTTTTGAGCATCTGCTGAGTGCCAAGGCTTATTTTAAACACTGAATACACAGTGGTGAATACAACAGGCAAAAATTCTGGCTCTCAGCCAGGCACGATGGCTCATGCCTGTAACCTCAGCACTTTGGGAGGCCAAAGTCGGAAGATGACTTGAGGTCATCAGTTTGAGACCAGCCTGGGTAGCATAGTGAGATCCTGTCTCTACAAAAAATACAAAATTAGCCTGTCATGGTGGGGCGTGCCTGTAGTCCCAGCTGCTTGGGAGGGTGAGGTGAGAGTCTGGTTTGAGTCTGGGAGGTCAAGGTTGCACGGAGCCGTGACTACACCACTGCACTCCAGCCTGGGCAAAAGAGCAAGACTCTGTCTCAGAAAAAAAAAAAAAAATTGCATGCTGTGGCCCATGGGGCCCTGATCTATCTGCCTGTCCTCTCTCACCTTACCTCCTCCTCCTGCTCTCCCCACTCCTTCTTGCTTCAGCCACTCTGGCCTGTGCTGTTCCTTGAAAAAACCAGCCGGGCGCGGTGGCTCACGCCTGTAATCCCAGCACTTTGGCCGAGGCGGGTGGATCACGAGGTCAAGAGATCGAGGCCATCCTGGTCAACATGGTGAAACCCCGTCTCTACTAAAAATACAAAACATTAGCCGGGCATGGTGGCGCGTGCCTGTAGTCCCAGCTACTCAGGAGGCTGAGGCAGGAGAATTGCCTGAACCCAGGAGGTGGAGGTTACGGCGAGCCGAGATCACACCATTGCACTCCAGCCTGGGTAACAAGAGCGAAACTCCGTCTCAAAAAAAAAAAAAAAAAAAGAAAAAAAAAAAACCAAGCACACCTTCAAGGCTTTTGCACTTACTGTCCCCTCAGCCCCCTTCTGCCCAGTAACCAGCCCCTCCAGCATCCCCATCACTCTTATCCTGCTTTCCCCTTGTATTTTTAGTAGAGATGGGGTTTCACCATGTTGGCCAGGCTGGTCCGCAGCTCCTGACTTCAGGTGATCCACCCTCCTCTGCTCACCCTCCTCAGAGCGATCTCTGCTCACTGCAACCTCCGTCTCCCAGGTTCAAGCTATGTATACTTCTGCCTCAGCCTCCCAAGTAGCTGGGACTACAGGCATGTGCCACCAAGCCCAGCTAATTGTATTTTTAGGAGAATGGACTGCAGGGGGCGATGGTGGCAGCCGGGAGCCCAATGAGGACGCCACTGTCCTGGTTCAGGTGAAACCATGGTGGCTAGACTAGAGTGTGGGTGGTGGGGAGGAGGGGAGAAGTGGTCAGAAATCTGTGTGTGGGCTGGGCAAGGAGGCTCGCACCTGCGATCTGAGCACTCTGGGAGGCCAAGGCAGGAAGCTCACTTGGGCCTAGGAGTTCAAGTCCAACCTGGGCAATGTAGTGAGATCCCGTCTTTTTTTTTTTTTTTTTTGGGACGGAGTTTCGCTCTTCGTTACCCAGGCTGGAGTGCAATGGCGCGATCTTGGCTCACCACAACCTCCGCCTCCTGGGTTCAGGCAATTCTCCTGCCTCAGCCTCCTGAGTAGCTGGGATTACAGGCACGCGCCACCATGCCCGGCTAATTTTTTTGTATTTTTAGTAGAGACAGGGTTTCACCATGTTGACCAGGATGGTCTTGATCCCTTGACCTCGTGATCCAGCCGCCTCGGCCTCCCAAAGTGCTGGGATTACAAGCTTGAGCCACCGCGCCCGGCCGTGATCCCGTCTTTATAAAATAAAAATAAACTTTTTTTTCAAAAATGAAAAAAGTAAATGCCAGGCGTGGTGGCTCACACCTGTAATCCTAGCATTTTGGGAGGCCAAGGCTGGAGAATCACTTGAGCCCAGGAGTTCAAGACCAGCCTGGGCAACATAGCAAGACCCCATCTCTACAAAAAATTTTTTAAAAAGCCAGGCCAGATGGCTTATGCCTGTAGTC